ATACACGATAATTGCACAGGGAGTTTACATTGAGTATTTATATAGATATATATAATTATTGCACTGGGTGTGAAATATAGAGAAACAAGTTATTGCATGGGGTATTAAATAGTAAATTGCATGTTATACATTGCACAAGTTATTGCCTTTGTAGTGTTGCATTGTAGAGTCTTATTGCAGCAGTGATAAATGACCTGCGGTAGCGCTTCTTTTTACAAACAGGATGTAAAAGTCTTTCACTAAAGGAGCTGCTCAGCTCCTCTTCAGACTGGTGCAGAGGGTGGATTGCAGACGTGTTTTCACATCTTGAACACATTTTGCAATACTGTCCTTTCTAGTACCTGATTACTCTACTAGCTTCACAAACCCTGTGAAATGTTCTTGTTGATGTTGTAGCAATGATGTAAACACCTCTCTTTGTTGTTGTAGCAGATCTTAAAGCTGGACAAGTGAAAGATAGTAAACCTTATGTTTGGCCTTTTTTTTGTTGGCATGCCGGTGAATTGTGGGCTGGCAGCGAAACCTGGAGAGACAAGCTTAGGAGCAAGATGTGATTCAACTGCTACTCTTATATATCCAGAGACTGGCCTATGCCTGGACACTGCAACAGCCTGGGTGTTGTGCTGGAAGGCTGTAGCGGGAACCTGGGCGTCATGGTGTCATAGGTCATTTTTTATCTAAAATTGTTATATATGACATATACTGAGTGTCTGCTGGAAAAAGCAAGTGGGTTGTTAGTGTTACACCATGTTTTTAACTATATTGTGACTCAAGGGTGTGCTATCTGTTTTCTTCTAGCACTAACGTCTCAGGTTTTATACCTAAACCTAAAGCCACAAGACGAATACCTGAACTCAGAAGAAGTCTTTGGTGAAATACATGTATCGCCTGCTTGGGTCACAATATAATATGGGTTACAGGATATAGTGTAAAATCTTGTGTTGATGATTTGGGTATTAGTGGGTACGGTGTAAAATGATACATTTGTTAAAAGTGGATTATTATTGAAACAGCTGCAGTCAGCAAGTTCAAAATGTATAGAATCAAACAAATGAAACAAACACTTAAATAAGGCTCCCCAGGTACTTCAGTTGGACTTGTTCAATTTCTTGTCAACACAAATAAGGAATTAACCAATCACATGACAGAAACGTCACACTTTTAGGCATCTGTGAGGTAAAGGGGACACCAATACATTGGCTGATGTCCAATACCGATCCGATAGCCTTATTGAATGAATTAACTGTATATCTTGTGATGTTAGTAAAGGCTTAATGCTGGACATAAACTTTGTTAGAAAAACAGTGACAAACGAACACAGATATAAACCCTAACCGGTTGCTGTGTATGCTCTGCACGGTGACATAATCAGCATTGCAATAATACATTTTAAGTCACTAGATACATGTGAATGTAGGACTGTAAGAAAAATTGAAATAATTGGATTGTAATGCTGGATCGGTGTCATTCATTTAATCCTCTGGGATTATTAAAGTATGTCTGATTCTGATTCTTATTTGATATCCGATCCAGCTAAACGGTCAGTATAGGAGGTGATATCTGATCTGAGTATCAGATTAATGCTTCTCGAGTAAACTTCAAACAAGGCATCAGCTGAATGGAGGGGGAGATGGTATTAAAGTAACTTTAATGCATACAAATCTGAGAAAATTGTGTTTTTGAAAATGATGCATTGTAAATGCAAATAATCATATGTTAAGCTATGCATGCATGCAAAAATATTAGCACTTTATTTTAGGTGGGTAACTATAATCAAGAATCTTTATTCTTATAAAGAAACTTTAACCCTGTAATGCCCAATGTATCATATTTGATACATACGGTTTCTGAAATGTTTTGTGTCTGACACCTTTTGCATAATTTAATGGTAAAAATTTTGCTCAAAATCCTATTGTACACAATCAGATATACCTGATAACAGAGGGCAGAAAACTACACAAAAAATAATCTTGACTTATCGCATAGTAATGAATTATTAATATCAAAAATGTATTTCTGTTTTTTCTTTTTACATATTTTGTTAAAAGGCCAAATAAGGACTTCAAACCAAAAAAAAGTAATTTTCTGTTTTGTTTTATTCTTGGATCGGGCTTTAAAGGGTTAAAGGAATTTTTTTAGAGACACCAGGAACAGAAAGTAATTAGAACACCTCAAGAAAAGAATAATCAACTTTAAAGACCACTTGTAAAATATATATAACAATCTCAAAAGAACCCATCAAATATAAACATTTATTTTCCTCCTGAAATGTGGACATATATAAGTAGCTTTTTATTTAAGTGCTTGGTTATTCTTGGACATTTTACTTCTGCTCACTACATTTGAACAAAAATAGTTGTACTTTTTATTTTCCTCTAAACCTCTACATAATAACATGATGTAACAGCTATATTAAAAGACATGGAAGATCTAGAGCACAGATAATCTGTTCAGTTAATTTATAGAAAAACACTGATAGCAACATGGATGTAGATAGAGGGCTGGGAAACATTGTAGTGTATGGATCAGATTCGACATGATGTAAGAGAATGCCTACTGTCGCCATATGCTTCTTCGGGAGGGAGGAACCTGCAACAAAACTAGGCCCAGTCATTGCTTTATTTATCTATTTTTGCAATTATCAACCAACACAGTAAGCAATAGAGGATATATATTCTGACACAGAAGTTTTGTTTTTATGAGAATAGAGCTTTTATGTGTTATTTTGTATCATTAAAGGCAAAGATATTTGTTTATTTTTAAATTGAGAACAATTTGATACTGTACTTTTTCAATTTCACTAAAGCTACAGAGTTCCATAAGTACTTTTATTAGGTATCTGTCTTTTTGCCTAAATAAAGAATGTGAGTACATTTTACCTGCGGTGGAAGACAAACTTGCGGAGGGAAACATCCTGACTTCAAAATAGAAGTGATTCTCTACCACTTTTTAGCAGTAGGGGATTTTGGGTCAGACGTTTATTACCACTTCCTGTTCAGCAAAAAAATCAACCACTGTACATGTTTGACTTATAAAGGTCTGCGGCTGAAAATGTTGTTAAAAGGAATGGAAAATTTAATACTGTACAGGAGTGAAATAAATATTTCAAAAAATTAAATTAAAGAAATATAAAAAAACTGGCAAACTGTAAAATCATTTTAAACTTGTGGTTTCAAATAGATTTTATATTTGGCCGAAATTTATTCTATTAAGTCAAGGACATATCAGCAAGTCTTTCTAAAACCTCACTTAAATGCATATATTTATATATATGTAAAAGCAGATTATTTAGATAAAGCTGTTTTACTCCTAAACTAGATTTAAGACAGTCTAAAACTTATTGAATGTTAAGGTATACATTAAAGGTACACCAACACATTGCAAGCTATTAGTTTCGGGACATATTAGTGTTTTTTTGTTTTGTTTTATCAGCATCGGTAGATTGATACATGTGTTCATCGATTCATTAGTGCATTCAGCAGCTGTGCCTTGAGATCACCAGAAGCATTGCTGTTTCCATTATTTGCTTTCATTGATAACATTTGGATTATAAATAAGATCACCAACATTTTAAAGGATAAGACCTAGGTATTGAGTCATATAAAGAGCTACCAATACTGAACTTTGAATGAAATCAGCGTTCACCCAAACTTCATACATAATAAACATATTTTTATTTCTAGTTTTATTTTAGATTTTGAAATCACTTTGAATGCAAATGTAATTAAAAAAGGAAGGCAACAGAAAAAAATAACATTTGCAACCCACTGGTGAATTATGCTGTTTTAAGTAGAAGCTGTGTTCCTAGAGGGCCTCTTGTTGCCCGCTGGCACCGCGTTGGTGACCCCTGCTGTTGTTGGATCTCTGGTGTATTTAAGCAGGATGGATGGACCTCCACCCTTGCTTCACTTACTTACCTACATTTACCTCATTAAAAAAAAAATTTTTTTTGCCACTTACCTTTCATCGCGGCAACAGCTCTCTCCTTCTACCTCTTTCGATTACTGTTATTCTGGTGGGCGGCTGTCCAAGTATGGAGGACCAACTCTGCCATATTCTCTCTAAGACACACCCTTCCTCATTTGCATAATGCGGCAGAGATGCATACAGAAATGTAAAAACGACAGGCAGAAATAAATTGTGTTGAATAAAATAAAGAAGGTAAAAAAATACAAAGGCAGAATAAAACAGACAAAAAAGTAAATCATGCACATAAATAAATACTTAAAAAATAAGTGATAAATAAATAAAGTTGAAGATTATAATGGACAATAAATAAATAAGGTAATTATTACAAAGGCAAATAAATAAAGACGCTAATTAAAAGAGATATATATACGTTTATGTCTCACTGTATAATTCAATTTCTACCTACATTTATTTGTTTATTGTATTTTGGGGGGGGCAATTAATTGAATGCTTATTTATTTATTGAGCATTTATTTATTTATGCATTTATTTTTAGATTTGGCAGAGTTGGTCCTCCATTACAGAAGAGGATTAGGGCCACTGAAAAAATAAAAAAAGTTATCTGAATTTCTAATTTTTTTTTCAGTTTAAAATGGGAATTAGAATTCTGACTTTAATCTAAGAATTCTGACTTTTCCCCCCATATTTAACTGAAATAAAACCACCACCGCTTTGGAGAGCACATTCTATGGCGTTCAAATTTTAAAGCATTTAAATTTGTGAACACTAGGTGGCAGCAATACCCTAGTGTATATATTTTATACATACAGAGATTTTATATATATTCTTAACAAACACATGGGATTTTTATGGTTGGTTTGACCCAATAACGGTTTTATAAGCAATTTTCTCTCCACATTTAATGTTGATGTTTTTAGATTATCTAATCTATTATTAGTTATTAATGTAGTCTATATAGTTACTCAGTTTCTGGTTATCTCTAGCTTTTCAAAGGTCCTGGCAGGGAAATAGGAAGTGCAGATGTGGGACCTCCTAGCTGCTGTGACGTCACCCAGAATCCTCCATTCAGACTCCTGTCCTCCTGCTTCCACAGTGCATCCCGCTGCACGGCTCCTTACAAGTGAACTCAAATGGATTTCACACACAGACTATCTGAAACAATCCTAGGAGTTCTGGCGGGTCTGATTCAGTAAGAAGCAAAACTGTGCTCGTCTGGGGATGACATGATGTCTGCAGTAGAGAGCGGCTTGTTCCAACCCGCTCAGCTGCTCAGCTGGGTTTATATGTCTTTACAGGACAGCGCTTTGGACTCGGACTCCCCTGCACAGGAAGGGACGGAACGAGTCACGGCTGATTTGAGCTCCAGCTACCTCAGCAACTTTTTCCATCTGAACACTGAGGTACAGCATAAGCTGCACAATGATTCACACTTTGCATGGATGTTTTACTTTTTGCATAAAACTTTTTTTTTTCATATGAAAAGAAACAAAACCACTGTTACCTTTACTGTAGATTTCACCTGCAGTATGCCTTGCTTTACTCTCACTGAATATGTAAATATGAGTTTTGTATCCTGTTATAACCCTTTACACACTAAAAAGAGTCAGTGTGTGCAAGGTTCTAGAACTCATCCATCTGTGGAGTGAATTTTGTTCCAATAAGTTTTTCAAACAAATCATGTATTTATCTGGAAAAATTCCATCAAGAAATTAAACTTTTAAAAGTATTTATTTACTCATATTTAGCTATTTAAAATATATTTTTTCCTCCATTATGTAACATTCTTTAAACTTTTTATTTTTTAAATGGTTTTTAAAATTTCTCTTTGTCAGACTGTGTTTTATGAATTGCATTCTCTTTAAGTTGTGTTTTACATATCACAGGCTCATCATTTTAAGTCTGATACAAATGATGCTGCTAACGTTCATGCAGACAAATTGAGATAGGTCTATGCTCCTCACTGCGGAGGAAAGCCAACCACTGGTTATAAAGAGAATTTGATTTGTAAACTGAGATTAAAAAAGAATGAAATTCATAAAGATCAATCTGAACAATAAAAAAAAATTTGAAGAATAAAAGTTACAAATCACTGCTTTCAAAAATAATGAAACAAAATTCACCCCATACTCACTTGGCCTCTCCATGATCAGAGTATGCATGGAGAAGAACAGTGTGGTGGAAACAGACATTAAGTCCAATTTAAGTTAGAGATTTATTGTGTTTTTTTTGGTCACAAATCAAATCAAACTAGTTTGAAATTTAGGCAAATATAAACATGAATAAATACAAAAGCTTTAAAATTATTCTTACATTTATTAAAAGATAAAAAGCTATCCAAACTAGTGTGGCTCTATATGAAAAAATCCTTTTACAATGGTTATTATATGAATGACTATGATTTATTACTGCTAGGTAATTAAGGAATAACTTAATCTGCTAGGGAAAAAGATGGCTGAAATATATCAAAAGCAGTTTCTCATGTCTCTAAAACAATACAGGAAAATATGAGAAAAAGGGTCTTTGACATCCATTAGTCTGGAAAAGGTTAAACAAGCATTTCTAAGGCTGTGGGACTCAAGCAAACCACAGTGAGAGCCTTTATCCACAAAAAGAGAAAACATGGAACAGCTGTGATTTTTCCTGGGAATCACCAGTCGACTAAAACTGTTTCAGTTGTGTAACTTGTACTCCACCAGGAGATCAGAGCGCCAACTTTGTGGAAGGTGTGCGTCATATTATAAATGGTGCATCTAATAGCATATCAGAGAAATAACATCATCCTAACAGTCCCATTTGGCTGTGGTAGTGGATTGATCTGGGACTGCTGCGATTTCTCAGGACTTGGACAACTAATTGTTTAACTTTACCAGAAGAAGAATGCCGGGGCATCAGTTTATGACATAGAGCTCAAGAGAATTTAGTTTATGCAGAAGGACAATAAACTGAAGCAAAGAAGTCAAACTCTAAATGGTTTAAAAATAGGTTCTCCATGTAGGTTGACACTTACACTTCTTTAAAACATTAAAAAACATGATAAGTGAGTGAATGCACATTTCACTGTCCATGATGCCTTCTGGAAAACAGAGGATCTGCAGGCTAGTCTTCATGCTTTTCCCCCCGCAGTGCCATAGCACCCATCTCTTCCAGAGACACAAAGATGCTTATTATATCCTGTCACTGGGACCGGTTGGAGTTATGCATGACAAAGGCATTTTGTCTTTACAAAGAAATAGACACTATTGGGGCACACAGTGAACACAGCAGAGTTCAGATCTGCGGAAATTCAAAAACTGCTGGGTTCAGTGTCGCATGGACAAAACAGGGTTATCAATCAGGGTGACAGACAGGCCCATGCAAAATGCTCTTTCATTGCAGAGTCATGACAATGAGTTTTTGTAATTGAGAAAAAAGCAGTATCTCTATGCAAAGCTGAGATAAATTGGTCTATGATACAGTGATTCCCTACATTTGGTTGGAAAAAACAGATTTCCCAAGAACATACTTACTGATTAACATTTTAAGAGGTAAAAAAAGGAGAGGGATTTTATCAGTTTACTGCCTTAAACACAGACAAAAGCAAAACAGAAACCTGACATTATATGATTGGTTTAGCATAGCACTTTGATTAAGTGTTTTTTTTAACTCATAAGTTAATATTTCAGTGTTTTAGATAAGGGAGCCAAACAGAAAAAAAAAATACATAGTGATGGCTGCAGAAAACGATGGGGATACTTTTATTTAGGTGGAGCAAATCAAACTTGATTGTACTGGATTAATTCATCAGTGGGTGGAGCTAATTTTGATTAACTTAAAAAAAATGGCACAAATGAGGCCATATTTAAATAATTATTTTACAAGTTATTTATTTATTTTATTGTGGCACTCATTACCCTCAATACTGGTGCAGCTCGTCTAAGAACAGCTGAATTATTTAATTTATTAACAGGTCATTCCTCTGGATCTCAATTGGTCCTCCTGTAGACCTAACATTTAAGACTAGAGGAGGACTTTTTAGTAAGCTTTGCATCTGTCTCCTGCTGCATGACCTGGTTGCTCTGGACTACCACCATTGGTACTCCTATTTAAGTTTCAGAACCTTGAGTTTGATAAAAGTATAATCCTGTGTTTGAATAGCCCAGTTAAGGTACAGACATAAGTCAGAATAAGAATTTGTGGTGAGACTTGAAAAATAATATTGCTCCTGTAACAAAAAGCAAAAACAAAATGTAAGAGCTAGGAGGGTTGTTACGTGTTCTGTAGATTGAATTCAGAATTTTAATGCCTTTGATTTACTTTTTTCGTTTCCAGCACTGCGTTGATTTGTAGATTTTAAAAAAAGTATTTTAAGCTTTGATGAGGTCCGATTTGAACCACAGATATTCAAGTTCTCGGTGGTTAAAGTTGAATTCCAATTCCGTTTATTTAAATAGCGCCAATTCCCAACACATGTCATCTCAAGGCACTTTACAGGTCAACAGATCATACAGTCAAATTGCATCAAAGGTTTCTGTCTAAGGTAAACCAGTTGATTGCATCCACTCATTGACTCAAATGCAACTCCTCACGCTAAGCATGCTTGTAGCGACAGTGGAGAGAAAAAAAAAACTCCCTTGTTACAGGAAGAAACCTCCAGCAGAATCAGGCTTGTTTTGTTCTGGCTACTGCTACCTTGACCCGTTGCCATCCCTTCACTCACTTAAATCCACAGTTCGGGGAGGACTCTAAATAAGGCTCTTGGTTTCTCCATTATGCCAGTGATACAAAAAATGATGGTGTCATCAATGAGAGATTGCAGCATTTTAGATAAACCTTGTATCCCAATCTGAATGGCTTCTAAAAAAAAATTTAAATTAGTTCAAATATCCAGTTTTAAGTTTGAACATAAAAAAGTCAATCTAAAGTTTAGTTTTTAATTTAGTGGGGTTAAAGGGTCTAATGTAAATGGAACATATATGCTCGTTCATATAACACATTACAAAGAAACTTGTTTAGGAGCCCTACTTCATAGTTATTACATAGTTATTACATTCATATTGACTGTGGGAAATATTGGAGAACCATAAACGAAGGCTGAATATCAATAGTGGTACTAACACCCCAGTTTAAGCATCATGAATCTTTAAATAAGTAAATAGATATTCTCTACTTAATAATAAGTGATTTCTACCTATCTAAGTATTTTTTTTCACGAGTACAGATTCATTCATATCAACTGAAGTTTATATCATTTTTATTTTACAGAGAAAATTCAATCACATCCAACAGTTTGGTTAAAAGCATTTCTATATGAGGAAACCCAGCAGATTGCATCAACTCTTTGTTTAATGCATGTAGTGACAGAAACGTACAGCAGAACCAGGCTCGGTTTGAACGTACCTCTAACATGACCAACCAGAGTTTAAGCTGTCGGCACATGCAGACGACAAAAGGAACACAGATGCACTGATGGAGGAATACTTCATATCTGAGAGAAAAGTAAAAGGTTAATGGGAGCAGTGGGTCTTTTGCTGACTTCATCCTGGAAAGACACCAAGCTAAGCAGATGAGCTTTGAGCCATTATTCTATTCTAGATCAAAAAGATCATAGAGTTAGTCTCAGGTAAAACTCAGCCTAAAGCTTTTTGTAGGATAGGGGCAAAGTTAATCACTGAAAGAGGCCAAGGTGTTTAGAGTAAGTTGAAAGCATTTTTCTTTTCTTACAGGCTTTAACTAAAGGTTTCTACAAAGGCTCTTCTCCATATGGATCCTTCAGTAACATTGTTGATGGTCTGAACTCTCTGGCAGACCATTTCTCAGATCTCTCCCTGTCCTCAGAGATGCACCAAAGCAGCAAAAGACCACCGCCCAACTACTTGTGCCACCTATGCTTCAACAAAGGACACTACATCAAAGACTGCCCTCAGGTGAGCGCATCTGTGCCGCAGCACATCAAGCAGTATCTGCACAGCCTAATATGAAACAGGTTTTCCAGTTGTGTGGGCCATTTGAGCTGTTTGTGAAACATCTGACAGAAAATTAGATCAAGAGTATTTCTTATATTTATGAATGACTCTAAGCTTAAATCATCTGGATTTAAATGCAAGAGGATTTCCCCAGTTCTGGTTTCACTGAATTTTAACTAAGTACTCTGATGTAAGAATATAATGTTTGCATTTTTTTTTTCTGCGTTGTTTCTTCAGCACATATTTCAGCTATATGGAGCAGGACAGGTTGGTAATGAGGAGCAGATGTGAGGTTGGATCAGTGAGGCGGTCTTTCTGAAAGATGATAGGTTCCTCTGTAGAAATAGGCACGACCTCCACTCTAAACATGAAAGAAATGTTACCAAAGCTTTATGTGCAGCTATTATTCCTCATTGATCATGTTGTGAGGGAAGTCCCTGACATTTGTAAGGTGTAGTGGAGGAAATTCTCTGTTACAGAAAGAAGCTGGTAGTAAAAATATTCTTCCAGCTTATGATAACAGTTATTGTGTGCATGGAGGGTGACAAGTGGAGAAAAACACAGGATTTAGCTAATGAAGTTCTATTTAATTATATGGGTCTCAATTAAATATATTGTTTTTTTAATTAAGTGAAATTAATGAGAATAATCATTTAATGTTCCTGTGAGAAGCACATGAGGAATACATTTAAGCTGTCATGTTCATCAAAGGCAAGGAGGCGGGACTAGGGCTGCTCCTGACATCTGATTGGCTGTTTCCTAGTTCTCTTTTACTCTGTCATTATTTTTTGCTGTAAATCATTTTCCAAAGGGTGTTACCAGCCTCCAGCTCCTTATACTTATTTTTGTCTATAGAGAGTTAATGAGAGAAAATGAATTGGTGTTAGTCAGTGGGTTGGGCTAATTTTGATCAGCTTAAAAAAATATGACACACAAATGATGCCATATTTAAATAATAATTTTATAGGTTATTTATTTATTTTATTGTGGCACTCATCACCCTCAATACTGGTGCAGCTCTTCTAAGAACAGCAGGATTATTTAATTTATTAAAGGGTCATGCCTCTGGATCTCAACAAGTCCTCCTATAGACCTTTGCTTTAGGACTAGAGGAGGACCTTTTGGTAAGCTTTGCATCTCTCTGCTGCATGACCCGGTTTCCCTGGAGTACCACCATTGGTACTCCTATTTAAGTTTGAGAAACTTGAGTTTGATAAAAGTATAATCCTGTGTTTGAATAGCCCAGTCAAGGTACAGACATAAGTCAGATTAAGAATCTGTGGTGAGACTTGAAAAATAATATTGCTCCTGTAACAAAAAGGAAAAAAAAAATCTAAGAGCTATGACTGTTGTTAAATGTTATGTAGATTGAATTCAGAAATTTAATTTTTTCGTTTCCAGCACTGTGTTGATTTGTAGATTTTTAAAAGTATTTTAAGCTTTGATGAAGTCCGATTTGAACCATAGATATTCAAGCCCTCTGTGGGGGGAGTTTAATTCCAATTTCAGGTCCGTTTACCGTATTTTTGCGACTATAAGGCGCATATAAACGTCTTTTTTTTCCCTCAAAATGTGCGGCGCGCCCTATAGTGCGGTGCGCCCTATGTGTTACTGCGGACTTTGTTGAGACCACCATGAGAACAGTAAAGGGGGAAGCGTGGGCGTGGATTGTGTATAAAAGAAAAGGTATGTGCTTTATGCTGAACACTGTTGTCATAACAACCCTAAGAGAGACTTTTCCAGCTGGAGTCATTATTAAGGCAAATGAAAAGGGCTGGATGGATGACGAGATGATGAAAGCGTGGCTGAGGGAGGTGTATGTGAGGAGACCACAGGTGTTTTTTTCCACGCATCACCATCGCTGTTAATCTGTGACTCCATGCGTGCCCATCTCACAGCCGATGTGAAAAACATGGTGGAACAAATGAACGCTGTGCTTGCTGTTATTCCGGGAGGTCTGACAAAGGAACTTCTCTCGCTCGACATCGGTGTGAACCAGCGGTTCAAAGTAAGGCTGCGAGCGGCGTGGGAGTGATGGATGACCGACCGAGACCACAGTTTCACGAAAAGTGGAAGGCAGCGCCGGGCAAGTTATGCCACAGTTTGCGGATGGATTGTTGATGCTTGGGCTAACGTGTCTGCTGGCACTGTTGTTCGAGCTTTCGCAAAAGCCGGCATCATTTCTGAGGAGCCGCCCGGCACGGAAAGTGACTCTTGACAGCGAAGAAGGGGAAATTGGCATGTCTTTAGCACAGCTGTTTAATTCAGAAACAGAGGATGATGACTTTGATGGGTTTGATTAATACTTTGTAATAAATACATGAATAAAGCACAAACATACTCAGTTTTGCTCCCGCTCTATTTTTAAATGCGCAGTAGAGGTATTTAAACGTAGTAGAGGATACGTACCGGTATATAAAACCCGCGCCTATAATCCGGTGCGCCTTATGTGTGTGTTAAATACAGTAATGGCACACATAACTGAGACTGCGCCTTTTAGTACGGTGCACATTATTGTCGTGAAAATACGGTATTTACATAGCACCAATTCCCAACACATGTCATCTCAAGGTACTTTACAGTTCACCACATCATACAGTTCAATTGATTCAAAGTTTTCTATCTAAGGTAAACCAGTTGATTGCATCCACTCATTGACTCAAATGCAATCCCTCACACTAAGCATGCTTATGGCGACATTGGATAGGAAAAACTCCCTTTTAACAGGAAGAAACCTCAAGCAGAACCAGGCTTGTTTTGTTCTGGCTGCTGCTACCTTGACCCTTTGCCATCCCTTAACTCACTTAAATCCACAGTTCGGGAAGGACTCTGAATAAGAATCTTGTGTTCTTCTCCATTATACCAGTGATACAAAAAATGATGCTGTCATCAATGAGAGATTGCAGTATTTTAGCTAAACCTTGTATCCCGATCTGGGTGGCTTCTAAAAAGCACTGAGGGATAATACCCAATTTTCTCACCCAAGCAATGCTTACTCAATGGAGATTTTGGAAAAGGTCTAATCAAAGTCTAGAATTAAAACTGGAATACTTTTGATATAAAAGCCTGACTACCTCTTATATCAACTTTTCCACCATTGCTGCCATAATTTGCATAGTGATTTTAACTTAACAATAAAATCATGATATAAGAACCTTTTTCTGTATGGATTCAGGCCATTCTTGCCAAAAGGCAAGAAAAGAAAGAAAATCTAGAGGGCGGTGCTCTTCATGGCACAGTAGATGTTTCTAAGGTGTTATTTTTAAGTCATGTAAAATAGCATGTTTTGTTTGTTTAATTAGTCTATGACTTTTTGCAGCTGGAACTCATTTGTGCTTGAGGGATAGTGACGAAGAATCAAATATTGTTATGGGAAAAGGAAACCTGGAAGAGAGCAGTGCTTTTACCAATGCTTGTTTAAATGAAGAACAAAAATGTCAGTTTCCTTGATGAAGTCTAAAAGGGTACAGGTAAAGGAAAAATAGTAAAAAGTACATGCATTTAGGTTATGTTCTATTAAACTACAATGAATGATATCAAAGGTCAGCCACACTGAAGAGTTGGGTTATTTGCTTCAGGGAGATGCAAAAGATTTGTCTTTGAAATATGCAAAACCTGGAAGCCATTACTGTGCTTTTTGAACCAGTTCTCCGTTACAAAGATGATGTCAGACATTTTTTCATGTGTTGTTAATATTTCAAATTGTGGCGTTACAGTCATGGCGATAGGTTACAGCGGCCGGAGCTGCAACAAACTGGGCTTTACCTAACAAACAATATGCTTTTTGTTTTTGTTGGTTGGAATCTGAAGTACCGGTACTTTAAGCTTAAAACAGCTCAAATCATTTATTGGAAGGGCTTTCGTGTCATTTTGCAATGCAAGAATGAAAATACAATTTAGTTTAATTTGCAATTCAAAACAGTTTATTTATCCTCCCAAATAAGGTCAAAATATCATCCAAAGCGACTATGTTTTAATGATCCTTTCCTAATAAAGTAGTTAAAGCGGGTTTCTGGTAAGATGATACATAGAACTCAGAGTGCTGACAGTAAATGGGTGTAGGGTGGGAAGGGCTTGGAATAAATAAGTGGAGCATTGTTTCTGCAGAGGCAAAGGTCAGGAAGTCAGTCCGAATTGTTCGCACAGCTCTTTTGGCCGGAGTCATCTCCGTCTCTCCCTGCCTGCGTCGAGAAGCAACCATCAGACATCACATTCGCAAAGCCTTAATTGCAGCTGCCCGGAGACCGCTACGTCCACCGTGTTTTTGGAAACACTGGGTAGTGCAGGAAGAGGGTGTATGTCTCTACAGCTACAGTTTAATCATGTTTGAATGGAGGGAAGAGCCTGCAGGATGATCGCTCCAGACAGGGAAACTTCTGATAATTGCAGAAGGAATTCCTTGATTTATTTTTGGTCTTTGAAAGCGAACAGAGATATTTTAAGTTATATTTCCCATTCAGGCGCAGTGCAATATCTACAAGCAAAATAATACACATTACCAGCAAACTCTAAGCGCCTGTTCCAGGTTCAGTGGTATTATGCAACATTCCAGTGCAAAGAAATCTAATTCATTTTACTTTTCCAGCATTTTTACAACTAGTTGTTAGTCAAAAGATACTATATATAAATTATTATTCATATATATATAATATTAAACTTTTTTTTACCCCTGATGTCTCAGTAGTTCAGTGCCGATAACCTATAAGCCTGCAGCTTTTTTTCCTAAATTAACTCAGGTGGGAAGTTCCCGCGCTGTTTGCGGATGGGACTTCAAAAGCATCCATGTTCAATGGGTCCAATTAAGCAAACAATCAAAGCGTTATATATCCAAGATGGATTTTGTGGACACTCAGAAGAGGCCGGCATCCAGCTCAACTAAGACACCAACAGAACCTCAACTTAAGGTGAAAAAAGTAAAAAAAACAAACCTTAAGAACGAGGGTGAGCTACGAGAATGAGCA